ATCCGCCACCCCCTTGAACTAGACATAGGATCTAACATGTAAGATATCTTGATATCATCATGAGGTAATGACATCCGCCACCCCCTTGAACTTTATATTGACATGAGATCGAACATGTAAGATATCTTAATATCATCATGAGATATTAAAATCTGCCACCCCCTTCAACTCTATATTGACATAGGATCGAACATTTTATATATCTTGATATTATCATGAGGGATTAAAATCCGCCACCCCCTTGAACTCTATATTGACATGGGATCTAATATGTAAGATATCTTGATATCATCATGAGATATTAAAATCTGCCACCCCCTTCAACTCTATATTGACATGGGATCTAATATGTAAGATATCTTGATATCATCATGAGATATTAAAATCTGCCACCCCCTTCAACTCTATATTGACATGGGATCTAATATGTAAGATATCTTGATATCATCATGAGATATTAAAATCTGCCACCCCCTTCAACTCTATATTGACATGGGATCTAATATGTAAGATATCTTGATATCATCATGAGATATTAAAATCTGCCACCCCCTTCAACTCTATATTGACATGGGATCTAATATGTAAGATATCTTGATATCATCATGAGATATTAAAATCTGCCACCCCCTTCAACTCTATATTGACATGGGATCTAATATGTAAGATATCTTGATATCATCATGAGATATTAAAATCTGCCACCCCCTTCAACTCTATATTGACATGGGATCGAACATGTAAGATATCTTGATATCATCATGAGGGATTTAAATCCGCCACCCCCTTAAACTCTATATTGACATGGGATCTAACATGTAAGATATCTTGATATCATCATGAGGTATTAAAATCTGCCACCCCCTTCAACTTTATATTGACATGGGATCGAACATGTAAGATATCTTGATATCATCATGAGATATTAAAATCTGCCACCCCCTTGAATTCTATATTGACATGGGATCTAACATGTAAGATATCTTGATATCATCATGAGGTATAAAAATCTGCCACCCCCTTGAACTCTATATTGACATGGGATCGAACATGTAAGATATCTTGATATCATCATGAGGTATAAAAACCTGCCACCCCCTTGAACTCTATATTGACATGAGATCTAACATGTAAGATATCTTGATATCATCATGAGATATTAAAATCTGCCACCCCCTTGAACTCTATATTGACATGGGATCTAACATGTAAGATATATTGATATCATCATGAGGTATTAAAATCTGCCACCCCCTTGAACTCTATATTGACATGGGATCGAACATGTAAGATATCTTGATATCATCATGAGGGATTAAAATCCGTCATCATCATCATCATCATCATCATCATCAAGATCGAGATCAATTGGCCGGGAACGTCTCTAAATCTCCGGGCAACACAAGGGGCCTGGCCGTATTACCCACAGGCCCCTTGTGTTGCCCAGACCAACAACAGACATGTTAGATGATATTACACGATGTTGGATGTAACATGTAAGATCCGCCACCCCCTTGAACTCTATATAGACATGGGATCTAACATGTAAGATATCTTGATATCATCATGAGGTAATAAAATCCGCCACCCCCTTGAACTCTATATTGACATGGGATCGAACATGTAAGATATCTTGATATTATCATGAGGGATTAAAATCTGCCACCCCCTTTAATTCTATATTGACATGGGATCGAACATGTAAGATATCTTGATATCATCATGAGATATCAAAATCTGCCACCCCCTTCAACTTTATATTGACATGGGATCGAACATGTAAGATATATTGATATCATCATGAGGTATTAAAATCTGCCACCCCCTTGAACTCTATATTAACATGGGATCTAACATGTAAGATATCTTGATATCATCATGAGGTATTAAAATCTGCCACCCCCTTGAACTCTATATTGACATGGGATCTAACATGTAAGATATCTTGATATCAACATGAGGTATTAAAATCTGCCACCCCCTTGAACTCTATATTGACATGGGATCTAACATGTAATATATCTTGATATCATCATGAGGTATTAAAATCTGCCACCCCCTTGAACTCTATATTGACATAGGATCTAACATGTAAGATATCTTAATATCATCATGAGATATTAAAATCCGCCACCCCCTTGAATTTTATATTGACATAGGATCTAATATGTAAGATATCTTGATATCATTATGAGGTATTAAAATCTGCCACCCCCTTCAACTCTATATTGACATGGGATCGAATATGTAAGATATCTTGATATCATCATGAGGGATTGAAATCCGTCATCATCATTATCATTATTATCATCATTATCATCATCAAGATCGAGATCAATTGGCCGGGAACGTCTCTAAATCTCCGGGCAACACAAGGGGCCTGGCCGTATTATTATTATATATATATTATATAAAAATATTTATATATATCTTATTATTCAATATTATATTAATTATATTAATTTATAATATATATCAAAATCGTAAAAAAATATTATAAATATCGTATTTTTTTTAAATATATATATATACCTGGAGATTCGAAATCCTGTTTTATTTTGTGCGTTTGGGTTTGTACTGGTTTTTTTGGGCGTTTAGATAACAATTGATCGACTTGAGCGTTTCGATAAGAAACTGAGAGATGATGTTTGTGATAACCCCAAAACAGAGTATCCATCATATATATAGATATAATATATATAATTGTGTGATCTTGAGATAGTTACCCTTAGTACCCCCATATAAAACTTATGGATTTGTTGGGCTTCCCCAGTCTCATCCATAGAATTACCTGACAAGAATGGCTGATGTGATGATGATAATGATGGTGATGGTTCTTCAACGTCACCATTGTCAGCCCAACCAGCCGATGCCTCAGCTTCTTTTCAGCTCCCGGTCCTTCCCCCTAGGCTCCAGGCTTCTAAGCCTTTGGTTTCAACACAGCACCATACAACGCTAAAGCCTTTTGGTAAGTTCGGAATGATGCTGTGGCTGGGTGGCAAGATCGACTTAATCTCGCCACCCGTCCCACAAAGTCCTCGTCGGACCAGCAGCTATAATCTCAGTTCAGGGAAGCAAACCAAATCTTAACAAGTATACCGCGGTAAACCATATACAGCAAAAGCGCTAGATTGACTCATTGCAGGGCACTCAAAAATGATTCTTTCAAAAATTGCAAGCCTAGAAACTTAAAACAGAAAGGCCTTTGGACCCAGCGCTCATGTTCATTGTCAGATGCTGTTGAAAGTGGATTTTCGGCCTGAGCCTGAAAAGTTTCAGCCCAGCATTGTAGCACTTAGTGGCCAAATAGCTGAAGCCTTCCTTGTTCAACTGGTCTCTAGGGCGCACAAATCAGCGATATGCTAACCTTGTACATGCCTAAAACTTTGGTGGGTGTAACACCAAACAATCTTCATACACAGCTGCGAGAGGCCACCATGTCATAGCCAGCCCTCACAACCACTTGGCGGTCGGGATCTGGGATGAATACCCCATGTTTGCGCATTGTGCGAAAGTAAGTGTTGGCTGACAGAACAGTCACCTTCAAAGCTTGGAGTAGATCTTCATGTTGGCAGTCCTTAGGTATATGGGGGATGTAATGACAAGAAAAAATGCAGTTTCAAGTAATATATTATATATATTCCAGTTAACTTATGGGATAGATGCACCATGTATGGTATTATATGGTGCCCATTCATAACACCAACCGCGTCCCAAGTATGATCATATATGCACATCTTTTGATTATGATCCCAACAAGATTTGCCATGAGAACCCCATACCAAGAATCCATCTCAATAAGAAGTGACTCTTGCCACGCTAACACAAGGGACGTATCAAAAGCCTTTGAGCTCCCCAGTGATGTTGGCCAGTCATTGGTCCTAAGTGGCAATATGGTGAAACATACTACAGGGATGGACCCCTACTTACTTCTTTAGATGGGCAAAACAAAATTTAATGCTACAGTGCTTTCGATTTTTTGTTTTGGGGCTACCATATATGTAGTCGAGAAAAATTCCAAATGTGTGATCAAGTTTCGATGCCATATCCAATTTTTTTGTGGACCACCAATCTATGCCAGAGGTCTTTTTGTTTTGAGCACACCATGACATAAACATGCTGTATGCATTTCGGAAACGAGCATCCAAGGTTCTCCCTGGAAACACATCTCGTTTGCATATCAACACCAAACCCGAAGACCCCAAGTCCACCCCCCATCCTAAGTGGAAAGTATGGCAGCTGTCAGGCAATATGGTTGTGGAGGTCATTCCTGGAATTGACAGCAACGGTATGTGCATATTCCAAAAGGGGCTTGTAGATCGATTCACGCCCACTGTCGCCCTCCATGCTGCGTCCTCCCCAAAGCAGTGCCAATCAGTCGCATCGCAAAGGTGGCACTTCTCATTGCAGTTAAAACCGCAATTGAGATGGAAGGCCTTGGATGTGGACAATTGGCAGGGCAAAGGGCACATCAATAAATTGGGGATATTTCCAAAAAATATTTCAGCTCCAAAGTGTTTAAAGATCATCCGGAAGGTTCTTTTCGAAGATATACCCAATCTCCTTTGGTTCCCACGCATACGAAGTGCAATCTCTCCTTCCCCACCTAAATTGAAGCTTAATGATGGCAGTAGTGTAGCAATAATGGCAGTAGTGTAGCAATGCTATGCGCCAATGCTGTAAAGCTACCAAGATCCCTGACTCATAAAGTTTGGTCGCATCATCAGCTATGACTTGGTGGAGGTCATCCAATGTGTACTCCCCATCATAGTACAAAGAAGATATGCACGATAGGAGAAATCGGGTCGTCATGGAATGCCTGGGATGAGTACATGCTCCCAAATTGGTAAATTCCCTTTTTGACAATATTCAATACCTATGATTTATTTTAATACACTTATTATGGGTATGTCTCCAAATGAGGTGCCCCTTTTGGCCCCCAAAATAACGTGTTAAAGAATGAAAAAGGGCACCGCATCCTGAGACATCCCCATATCAATTCATCCAGGGTGCCCCGATTCATTGGATACCAAGCAACCCTTTCTGCTAATGACCGGTTGGAAAGATTCAATCATGAAACTGCGTTGTCTCAGAGTTTTGCCTTCATCCCCATGAAGAAAGTACGGGATGGAATGAGAACGTCGCAGGGTCGAACTGTATATTGGATACGTTGGGTTACATGACTCATAGTCTGCCCAAAACCCATCCAAAATACTCATCCATGCACTTTTGTTTTCAAATGCACAGCCAGCCAAAAGAGTTTCTGGTGCCCTAGCCATCAAGACTTTGATCCAGTCCTCCATTCTCAACACTGGCCAATATAGTTCTTGCTTCCTAAAATAAGGCCTGCGTAGAGCAACACGTAGCAGCACTGCATCAATTGGCACAGGAAGCAAGACTTTGCCCTGGTTGATGAGGACATGGAGGTTCCGACAGGCATTGGTTTTGGATTGGCCAGCTTTGGCAATTTTCAGGAGCGTATCTTCAGTATGTCCTCGGATCAATTTGTTTTCATATTATTCTTGAGGCCCCATATGAAAATATATTCAAATCACAATGTATCCCAACCTTTGAAAGAAGCTAAGATGCTGTTTGGGCGTACCTTGCAAATCATGCGAGCAATCTTGCAAGTTCGTTTCGCGGTTTCTGCCTTGGATTCAAAAGGATTGCAACTTTCCAAATGAAGAGAACAATCCATGGGGATGACCAACCAATATTTTAGATATGAAATTGATTGGGGTATTTGAATTTAAGGCAAAGTTGCACCACTCAAGTAGTCGCCGAACAATTCATTACACAAGTCCTCCTGTGCCATCTCATCATCAGAATCAGGGTCATGACGAAGACCTGAGAAAACCAGCTGCTGAACTAAACATATAATGGCCAGTACATCCAACAGAGGGCCCAACATAACTTCTGCGTTGATCTGGTTGCCAGTTGGCCTGGCTAAAGAGCAGGATTTCCAACCATTTAAATGCATGTGCATTCAACTAGCAGTGAATCGAAAGAAGAAATTTGAGACCTTTTTTTCTCCTTTCCCGATTTCCCGAAGCCGTGCTTTGAGTTGCCGCCAGGTTCAAAAGCTACCAGCAGCTCCATGCTGCCGAGATGCAATGTGGCGGCCGATGATTAGATAAAAACTTGGCAAGCCAGAAGGGGGCCAAAATTCTGTGGAATCAACAACACAGTACATGTTGAAATCGATATAAATTACACACCCCAATCCCCAATGGCAAGCAAATCGACATCTACTTGGATGCCTTCTTTTTCTTGACCACTTTGGTCTTTGGCACTGCCACGGCTTTGGCTTTGCCAGTTTTGCCTTTTGGCTTGCTGCTAGAAGAGCGAGTCGGTGTGTCATCTTCACCTTCATTCTGTTCATCTTCTTCTGCATCATCATCATCATCATCCTTTGTAACATTCTTTAGATTCTTCTTTGACTTAGCCCTACGGTTCAGGGGCAGTGGCTTTTTCTCAGAGTTGGCCTTGGCGCTGGCCTTGGCCTTCGCTGCAGGTTTGATGGTCCTGCAGCAATGCAACGTGTTGGAGGAAGAATGGGATGGGGCTAGGAGAGCACAATTCCAGTCCTTACCCGGCCGATCAGGTTGTTGACACACATGTCACGCTGTGTGCATTGGACATAGGTCTTGCTCAGAAGGTCTTTTGCATTCCTACACAAATCATCAGTTTAAATGTTCCTACAGGGATCATGTTAGAACATCTTCATGAAAGAATAAATCAATACCACGAATGCATGCTAGGTATTTTGCCAAAAGTCAGTGGGCCAAGCCTGTCAGGGACGGAACTGGTAAAGTCGATTTGATACTTCAAAAGCTTTTTGTACAGATCCTCATACTCCACAATTGCATCCCCCATCTCCTTGGCCATCCTTAGGCGTAAACCCAACACATGGCATAGGCTTTGGATTTAAAACAAATGTGACTGTCATATGGGTTCAAGGCACTTGGTTGCCCGTTCTGTTTGGAGATCGCTAAGACGGTCCTAGCGAGACCCACACAAGTAATCCATGCTGCAAACTAGATGCAAGTAACAGTAACATTTTCAATGGTCCTTTTGCTCTTCAGCCTTTGAAATGTTTGCTCCAACTGCAGCTATGAATGCCCCCAACAGACCTTACATGGCTGACAGTGGGAACTGATTGGTGGGGAATGCCCACAAACTATACATATGCAATCAGTCTATACCACACCAAAGAACCAAAGGGATCTTGGTTGGCCTGCAGGACCGGCAGAGCCTTCTGCTTCGATGCCGCAGCTGCTTGATGAGAGGCAGCGCTGAGCTGCTGAGCCGGGTTTCTGACAGCATCACCTTCCCTTAGTTACAACTTATATATATATAAAATATGAAGGGCTCCGTAACTTTAAAAATACATCGTGAAATTCTAATTCAAGTCTGATTCAACATATATAAATAAACAAGTGTCACCAAAGCTTGGCGATCAATCTGCTGCTCGAACATGGCACCAGTGGAATCCTGCATGTTGTCACTCATGCAAATGAAGCTACCATATGTGAATCTAACTTCTTTTGGTTGAAATCGATATGTGAAAAGTCCTGAAACGTAGCTCCAGCACGTTGGGTCACCTCCGTACCATGTTGTTCCTTAAACTTGAATCGTCGCTTCTTGGGGATGCGCCATTCTTCCTCTCCGTGGACTTCATTTTTTTCCACCAAGCCCCTCTGAAGGGCCCACTGGCGACTATGCTCGATCATCTGCCTGAGCAGTGAGGCAAGGATGGGCAGTGGAACAAAACTATTTGATGATCATGGCCACAACGAAACACATATATGAAACCTAGACACGTATTCCATCCATCATTTGCCAAATCGACCGCTGAATAGAAACCTCCTTCAAGTGTATTCTCTTCTTCTTCCTTTCTATATTTCACTAGGGCAACTTCTACTTGCTCGAAGCTCCCATGTTGAAGAAGCAGATCACGAAGTCGCTTTCCTACAGCTACTCATGAAATAAGCGCATACCTATATTATATGTGCAACATGTGAAGAAGAGCAAAGAACACTCACAAACATGTGCATAATTCCAAGATTCTTCCATTTTCAGTCTTGAACATTGCAACTGCACTCTCACTTGCTTTGCACACACCACGTTTGTTGGGCTTGGTGTAGTTCCGCATCCTTAAGATCGAACACATACACATGCAAGTACAATATGTACCACTCACTCGTGCACACAACATACAAGAATATAATAGTGCTGCAGGGACTCTTCCAATACGTGCCATCTGAGTACATGTCCCCCTCGGGACTGGGCTTGGAAGAGGGAGGGGTTTCACCTGCTTGGCTTTTGTCAACCTCGCTATCCCCAATATTGCTAGACCGTGCTGTGCCATGCGGTTCACCTTGCTCACTCTCTCGAGAAGGGTGCTGGGGAACCTCCTGTGTTTCATCGACCAAAGTGTCCTCAAGGCGCATAGTCTTCTTTTTTAAGATGCTCTCATCGGTGTCTTCTGGCGAAGAAAGGAGTGGGGTCCGTAATGTTTCATCACGATACTGGGCATCAGGAAAATATGCTTGCTGTTCTGCATAGGTCAACTTCCTCCCAGAAGAACCAATCATGATTGGACTTTGGGAGGTGGTATCAGCATGAGCAGCCATGGACACTGAACGTTGTGGAGGTGTGTGCACAGAGGCTTTAGGGGATGGGGTGACAGGCACTTCTGAGGGGGCAACAGAGCCCAATCTTGACAGCTGAGTCTTGTCCAGGGGAGGTCCAGGCTCAAATCCTGGAGTAAAACCACCAGCCGAGCGAGCTTCGACATAGCCAGCACCTCCAAGCAAAAGTTCAGAATACTAACTATAACATTATTAATTTATATAATCGTAGTTTTGCATTATTTTTGCATTATGTGGTGCGCAACATGTCATGCAGATATATGTACAATCATCAAAATCCATGTTGTGCGCATATTGTATACACGCATGCAGTGAAATTGTGCCTGCGGGTTGTGGGCGATGATCTTCCCCTGATAGGCCACCAACCTGAGATTGGAGCTCCAATATCTTGGCATTGGCTGCCTCAGTCGGATCGCAAAGCTGGAGCAGGGCAAGAAATTTGGGTGTTGGATAAACCATGCATGATATGTTTCTTTTTGAACTAAATCCATTAGTCACTCCATATACGCAATCTAGCTACTGCAATTGCTGCGTCCAGGTCAAGGGAATCAGCAGCTTGGCTGGCCATATTTAATTGGGCAACCCCCTGATGGAAAGATGTACACTGGCCAAAATCTTTCCTTCCTGACATGTATGCCAGGTCGATTTCTCAAGCCCTCCAAACAGCTGCAAATAATCCAAATAACTTGAAACCTATTGCCAAAAACCGTCCATGAGCTCACCATGGTACATTAAAACTATGCAGCACACTTTGTTTTGGAACCACGCAAAACATATCTAGGATCGGTCCATTTCTGGAGCGGTTAGACCGCTGCAGCATGCACATTTTCCCACATACCCCATCAATATGGAGTTTTCATCATAATTTTGCTGTTTTCTAGGAAAACCTAAACAGACACTTTTCTGGATTTGAGGCCGTTTGATGATTTTTGAATCCGTTTGATTGGTTTTTGAATCCGTTTTGATGCAAAAACTGAGCGGGCTTTTTTGCTGATTTTGATGATTTGTTCACCAAAACCATCGAATTATAGAAAGGTGTGGCGACAGGTCTCTAATTGGTCGAATTTTGAATTGCTGAGTTCAAAGACTCCTCGGTCATCACCTGAGGTGGAAAGAGCAGAGACTATGGAGGCCGAAGACATCAGGACACCGCAAGGGAATGTGTATGTTTTGAATCCTGGCCCCCACTCTGATTTCAAAAGCTTCTTGGATTTCACATATGCACGAACCATTCCAACAATCTACATGCATCCTAGGGACATAGTTTTCCAGCTCGGATCGAAGTAGCTCCATTTGAGCTTGCCATTCATCAGGGATTGACAGCCGTGGGTTTTTCATCAAGTATAGATATAGACTTGGAATCTTGGCATCCACCCAAGGGTCATCTAGGGAACGAAAAATTTGGAGATCTGTGAGCATGGGGTCAATGAGAGCCTTTTGCCTCATGTCCAAGCCTGGCTTAGCCTTGGACTCATCATGTACTCGAAGGAGATGTTCGCCAAGTCCTCGGGGATAACACCTCAGCAGTGCGAATCACCATGCTTTCGCATAGCCCGGTGGCACAGACAGGATGGGCTAGCTAGTGCAAAAAACTTAGCATTGCACTGGCTGCTCTTAAGTTCAGGCGTTCCTTGAAATCTCGATTTCCCAGTCTTCTTGTCATTATACTTTCCTTAGCTGGATTGAGGTATGTTTAAGTGGGTCTAAGGGGGCTTTGGATTTTGGCTGGAATATTGATATATTGCAAGCAGGTAGCTTGTTGTTTTCACACTGGTGTGCTCTTCTCGGAAGGTCTTCTTGAGAACACCTTTGTCCTAGGAATCAAATGACATTTCAATATTATAGACTATTGTAACCCCAAACTCTCATCTCTATCATATACCTAAGGGACACACCAAGGAGTGGAGAATATCGGGATCATTTCCCCAGCAAACAGTTGGCTTCGCCGAGGGAGCGCCAAAGTGTTGCATCCAGAAACGTTGCCTCCAGACCTTGGCTATATGAGATTATGCATGTAATCTGGAAATATTCAGAAAACTAATGTGGTCTTATTTTTTTTTGAAAATATGCATACCAATTGCTCTAATATAGCTGGGTTGCAAAGGCAACAGTGTTGCAGAAATGTTCAAAACGATGGTGTCTGGCAAACACTGGTTGGCTCCCAGCCGGCTGCTCCAACAGCCACGTGCAGCGCAAGGCCGTGCCTATGTATAGCAGCAACGTCAGCCTCACCAGAAAGAAGGCCAGCTGACATGGGCAAGGGAAAAGGGCTCTAAAACGGGATCAGTACAACACACTAAAAAACAATTAAGTGCAATCCAATGGACCGGGATATCATGCAGTTGGATCCATTGATCCACTCTAAGTTCAGGTTGCCCCAGAAGTTACAAACATTTCTCCATGAGGTACCTCTCGATATCACTGTCCAAGGGCCACAGTCAGGACCCATCAGCCACAGGCTCAAAGGCACCGCACATAAGGCCATGTAGATGGCAGACCTTAGTTTAAGTTAGATCATTGAACCCGTTTTCGATTTTGTATAAACATGCTGAGTATGGAACGCAAAGCCACCATTTCCCAAAAAGTCCATGCCCTTTCGGGAATAGTCCCAGTCGTATTGGCCAGCAGAGCGGCCATTCTCCCTGTCGAGAAGCCAGTTACATAGGAGTGCTTTGGATAATTTAGCACTAAACCATGCATATACTAAGCATATGATGACACATGCCTCCATACTGCACCCACTTGGCCACGCCCTGCGAAGAGCTCCACCAGCTGAAATCTGCTGGTGACATCGGTAGACCACATTACCAGCAGGACCTGACCAGTGCGCTTTACTATTTACTTTTGGCAATCTGTCCAAGACCACCGAACACCAATAAAACTTAGTTCCAGACACATCCGATAAAGGCCTAGGTTTGTCAAGCCAACATATATCGTATATGATACATCGCTCTTTGAATTGATTTTTCAATCCACTTAGGTTCCAGACTTTTGGGCAGCGCATTTGCGCAAGAGATACCACAATGCTATCCCTATGTTTGGATGGCATGTCGAACTGTACAGCCTTACACCTTGAAAGAAATGGCTTCGTAAGACACATCATATAATGAAAGAAGCCACCCATACAGTTGCTCCATTCACACAAGATTCCTGGAAAAGAGAGCTCAAGCGAGCCAGTGCCCACCGGATGAGGCATGCCGGGCTATCCATTTCTCCATGAAGAACCTCCCAAAGGCGAGGTGGGAGAACAGGGAAAACGAAATGTAAAAAGTAAAGTATGATGCTTCGATTTGTTCCAGCAGCTAGACACTGCAAGAAAATGGTTGTGTTTTCTCCCAGAATGCACTTGACCAACTCTAGGTCTAGCATGTAAGATATGTGCCATACGTACCGGATTTCCCAGGTACGATCGTTGGCGTAAGCGCATCATTAATGCGTGCAAAGGTTGATACTTAATGCAGCAGTGTCTAAAAACACAATGCTGGCCACCCTACAAAAGTTGAGGTCCAGGCATCTCTGCAGCCGCAAGGTCGCAAACAACAATTTGGCTTGCAATATCATTTGAATGAATGATGTTAAGCTTTTCATCTTTTGTCAACCTCACTCAAATGATTGGAGGTTTTCAAGCTGCACAGCCATAAAGAATTTGTTCACTCATCGATGTGGTCGAAGCTCCGTCAGTCTAGCTGTCTAGAGTCAGCAGAGTGCGCAACCACCAACATAAACATTCACACGCAGTCCGCATATGCCTAAGTTGGAGCAACCCAGAACCAAACAAGCTGATTCTACAACATCACCTACACCCAGAGTGCAACTATAAAAAAAAGGGAACTATGGGTACTATATATATCAAAATGTTGCCAAGCATGCTAGCTACCTTCTTGGCAATTTCTCTGGCTGCGTTCTCCTCTACTCCTGCCTTTTTCGCTTCGTTGAAAGCCTTCTTGTAGGCACAGCTCTTACGGCTCAACTTGGCTTTGTACTCGGGACTTTTCTGCTTTGTGCTGGCATCCTTGCAATCCTTCTTGCTTGTGCGTTGTGGCTTCTTTTTTGAGCTCTCACCATCAGGGCTGTTGTCTCCTGCCATTCGGGTGGTTTTGCTGCTGCGACCCTTAGGTTTGGGAGTAGCTTTGCGACTGGATTTACTGGGCTTGTGCTCCTCACCTTTGTCCTTTGCCTTGCTCTTTGCTGCTGCTGCTGCTGCTGCTGCTGTGGATCCCTTACGTCTCCTACCTCCTGTCCCATTGCTGGCACTTTGCTCACCAAGTCGGGAAGCATCAGCAGATGCAGAAGCAGCTGCATAGGCATCAAAGGCAGCACCCTTGTCTGTGTTGATGTCACCTTCTGGCTCCAAGGGCTCGTAGTAGAGAGTGGTCTTCTTGTCAATCTTTGCTTTCTTTGCTGCTTTCCCTGTGGGCAAGGCTTCTGCTGCAATGTCCTTGGAAGCTTCAGGTGATACTGCTTTGCTTGCTTTGGACTTGCGCTTGGGTGCTTTCTTTTGCTGAGGCTTGTCTTTGCAGTCATTCTTTTGCTTGGGCTTCCTACCTCTTTGTTTGGGTGGCTGTTGCTGATCTGCTGAGACAGGCTCGTGCTTTCCCCAATCTTCTGGCTTTGAAGGCATGTCTCGGAGTGATGCTGCTTCGGTTGGGGTTGCATCTTCAGTTGTGCCTAGGTGCTTCTTGCAAACCTTGACCGTTGCCTTGCTGCTTGTGCCATGTGCATTCTTGGCGTGCGCTTCCCTACTGCTTTTTCCATGGTTGGAATCCTTTGTGTCAGCTATTCTGTTTGTGGTTTCAGCTTCAATCCTTGAGGCCTTTGCCTTTATCAAGTATTCCTGTAACCTCCTGGATGGTGCAGTAGGGCTTGGCTCATGGGTGCGAAGCATTGGGACATCAGGTTTCTCACCCACTGGGTCCCCAGAAGCAGGGATAGGTTCTTTGCCAGGCTCAGTGCTCAACGCGTCGGGTTGGTGACTGTCACCTGGCTGGGATAGGAAGCAGGGTGGTAGCTATTTTTAATACCTGCCTCACACGCGCACACACACATGCAATAGTCGTGACGAACCTTGTCCATCATCGACAAGAGGTTGGGTCTCCATATTGTCCATGCCTGGGCTGTGCTAGAATACGATTATATTATAATATCTGATATCTATATATATATTAATCAATGAGCATCATCAACTTTTTAGCAAAGAAAATTGTTCAGTAAACTCAACCTGGGAACTTTCTGGCATTGGACGAGGAGGAATTTTCTGCTCGTCGAGAATGTTTTCCATGAGTTTCATGCAATGTATCTCTTTCCTGATTTCCATCTCACGGACTTGATCCTGCAATTTCTTTAGCTCCACTAGCTTTTTCAATCTCTCCTGGTGTTTCAACAAGTCCTGAAGAGCCTCAAGCTTTGCAAGACGTTGCTTCGTCGCCTGCTGGCAGAGCCATATAGTAGGACATGCCCCAAAAAAATAATCGATTGAGACTATGTATAAATTGTAAATATCACCATTCATGCAGGATAAGTTGTCCTTGCCTCGAACTGGGCAAGCTTCTCTGGGGTGACTGTAGGTGGAGACACACCTCCATGAGATAAAGCAACAACACTCATGAGTGCAGTTTATGAAATAAGAAATGGATACCAATCCCCTGCCTTTGGGAGAAGGAGTCTTGATAACACCCACATCCACGGAATCCTTCATAGAATCCTGCGCATCATATCTACTTGAAAAAATTGTAACCAACATAGTGCATCACCACTCCTTGGCACAGGCCGGTGCTGGCATCTTCGTAGAGTTCGATGGCAATGAAGCCTGGCAGAAAGCCGGGACACGAGTTGTGACATGGTGGGGGGATTTCAAGGAAATTTGTGATATATAAACAAGTTCATACACCTTTGGAGGCTCGTTGATCGCTCCATCAGCATCCAATGGGGCACCTGAAGCAGACTTATGCCAAAAAATGTCCAGAACCTCAAATGGTAACATATTCAACTTCAAGATTTTTCAGTCTATTTGTTGTCGCTTAGAAACCTTCAAGTTCTTCATCGTCCGTGCAAATCTCTTCCTCCCCTCCTTCGTCCTCCATTGTTGCATTGTCCATGTCTTCGTCCTCATCAGATGGTGCCTCTGGGTCTGAATCAGGCTGGTCGCAAATGGATTGTGGTGGTGTTGGGTCAAGCTCAATATTAATCCCTTGGGAGATCATGATCCTTCTCAGTGCTCGTTCACGTGGAACATGGGGTCGACGAATCAGGTAGTTGTAAGTGCTGATCAATCGTCTCAAGGCCCATGCTTGGATGTAAACAATATTTCCTCAGAGCCCAAAAAAGGGTATTAAAAAAAAATGATATGCACCCAAAACTTGGACCAAAAATCCAACACATTCACATATTTGTGTCAAAAAAATCGATTTAAATGTATCGATAGAGTGTCCTGGAACATTGACTGACATCAAGTCATAGAGGGCTCGCACATGTACTTCCAGTGTGCGAACACTGACCCTGGTCCCCACATGGGATAGGGCTATGGTGACCAACTTCTCATTCTCGATCAGCGTGGCCCGGGTGATGGCATTTGACTCATTGAAGTAAACCTAAGGGTACCCCATCCATTGTTTGAATCTTTAATGCATCAGGAAACACCAGTTGATATATATATATGTCTATCGATCTATCATGTATCTAATACATGCATATATTTATCCATTCATCTACATGTTAGACGACCTATCTAAAATTGGGAATATCTCATGATAGGCATGATAGGGGTGCCCATGAGTGCCCCAAACCATTCTTTTTTGATGAAGAAAGGAAAACTTGGGGCACTCCTATTTTGCGACATTCCTAGTTCTATCTGTATCCATGCATCTATTCATATATACATGCATGTATATCTATCTGCGTATCTATCTAAATCTGTGTAAAGATTTCAATCTATCTAGCACATCTATCTGGATGCCCCACATGCACATGGACATAACATAATATGAGATATCGATGTGTCTACACATGCAACATACAACAAGACAAGAGCTCCTCTATGCACGCAAACGTTGTGAACAAAACCTAGCAACGAGTTGGTGTAGTTGAGCCCGACGTCGAAGCGAAGAAATGGCCTCCCATGCCCTGGCCAGATCTGTGCCCGAACCACGAGTATCATCACACTCTCGGTCATCATCACCACGTGGAACCAAGTCCAAAGACATGGCTGCACCAGTCAGCATTCTACACAACGATTGCGAGAACAAAACATATATGTAATTATGGCATATGCATTTTATATGACAGGTATCGGAGGATTGCCGTACATATTTTATAATATGCTAGCAGCCTGATAGCATACATTTTCTGATGTGCTGCTTCGAGCCTCCCTCAGTCTGCAAGAAGAGCAGTCATGAGTTCATTTGAGAAATGCCACAAATAACTGCATGGTGTGTGGCACTGCCATTGCAAGCACAAAGCCTGCCTCTCCAAGTTTGGTCAAAGACCCCAGTGGCAAGCCATCACGGGTGCATGTAAAGTCACTGCCTGCCCTACGTGCATATATAGATATATATATATATATATATATCATATGCCTTGTAGGGCTAGGAACATGTTAATACATAGCATATGTGTTTTTTTAATACACAGCATACATAGCATTGTGTGAATACATGTATAGCTTAGTGTCCAGCTGGTGTTTTTTGGATATATTTTTAATTTGACCATCATTGGCCACCTGCACCCCATGCCACCGCTCCCTGGCACCGAGCCACAGCCGAGGAAAGAAGCGGCACTTCCAGCCACGCCGGGATGGATGACTGATGGATGGATGAATCCACCCAAATATGTAAGGTTTGGGAAGGTTTATGGGCCTGTGGCTTCTTATAATATGATAATGGGTCTTCTGACTACAAACCACTGAAAATCTCAGAAAGTAGCTTTTCAGGGTCAAAGGCCACTTTTTTTAAGCGATCCATAAATAAATAGTCAACAGCCTAAACAGACAATTTATTTTGATCGTTTGAAGGTGCAGGTATATATATTTATTTATAATATTTATTGTTTATTATTATTTTTTCCTTACCATTTCTTACCTTTTCCTTCTTATTCTTTCCTTTTCATTTCCTTTTCTTTTTGTTTCCCTTTTCCCATCCTTTCTTTGTTTTTCTTTATTCTTATTTTTTTTGGATATTGATATTTCAATAAATATAATTTTATAATTGTTCCCGCTCACGTAAACGCAATTTAGAGCGATTTTACCTGAAATTTTCCCCGAGCTAATCGCAACATGTATCCAGAGTCGGAGCGACTTCAACAGGTGCAAATAATATTTAAAATTTACATTTTTTTCCAATATGTAAATTAATCAATTTTTATCTGGGTAGAATTCCCAACGCAATCCATTGTGTATTATTGATCCATGCTCGCTGAAACTCTTCTTGGCCCCTGGATTTCCTGCCGAAGCTCATCCAAAGGATGGCACGGCCCTCGACTTTCATCTGCCTTCTGCTTTATGTTTCCTCCGCATCATCGCAACAAAAAATGATACTCTAAAGATGGTGACATCTTTGCAGCGACCTTCAAGAGCCGACTTCCTTCTGCTGTATCTCCCATCTCCAGCTTCGCAATACCCTGCTGATACACTGCCATGGCCTGTTCGGATGGCCGGCGAGTTTGGCTTAATCATCCAGTCCCCCAAATTCCTCCATCCAAAGCATCTAGATTCAACAAAGCTATAGATGTCGTGGACTCCGCAGGGGCTCCGATGCATCTGACACTGGCAGTGTACTTCACGTTGCATTGAAATACATTGAAATAAAAGGATCTGTTGGTGGCAACAAGCCCTCCAAAAGTCCAAGTCCATTGGGATCATCATCCCTATGGTTGACGATAAATGTGGATCTAGAATGATCTATATCCCATAGGATCCATGTATGGTATATATGCTAACATTTGGGGTATATTGATGGTAAATGTTACCATATATAGCATACATGGATCCTATGGGTATAATTAGATAGATATTCCGCAGGTGATGTGCTGCCCCAGAGCGGCCATGAGCGGCTGCTTCCACTGACCCGAATGGAAGCACCCAGCAACTCATGCACAATTGCTGCCTAAGGCGCTATATACGGTCCACAGGGGATGCGAAACTTCATATTGCTGATTGCTATTTGATAAAAGAAAGAACTCGAAACGCTTGAGCTTTGTGAAACTCTTATCAACCATCATATTCACTTACCATCACAGCCTCTATCAGCATCAAGGACTTCATGTCGTAGTGTGCCTGTTCATCATCCTTTCCTCATCCTTTCTGTCATCACTTTCATCCTCATGGTCATCTACATGGGTATGGGTCAAAATTAGGTACCCCAATAATTGGATGGTGAATACTAAACTAGACTAACATCTGTGGTCCCCTAGGTCTTCCATTTTGACCCACATCTACATGACTCTTTGTAGGATCATGCCAGTAGCGGGAGCGCAGGTGTTGGAATGACTTATCGTGCCTCAAATCCCCAACTATCCTCACCACTGCGTGCTATCATCTACCAAGTTGTTTTTCCCAAATGCGGGCCTGCAAATGTCAGATGGCTATCTTTGGCAATCTGCTGCAGAGGAGGCACAGTTCCCTTTTTAACATAAAAAATACTGGTCAAGACCCTGGTACTCTGCTAGGCATGCCCATGATGGAGATCATAAAAATCCATAAAATCTGAAGATCTGAGTCCCCTGGGCCTTAAAAAAAGCTGACCCATCCATCAATGGATTGGTTTAAGGGAAATTTTACAGGAAAGCCCCATAATTAATGGGAAAATCTATGGTTTCCTGTAGATTTTCCCTTAAACCAATCCATTGAATCCACACATGTCCAACTTCACGTTTGTAAAAGCCTCCTGGTCTTCATCGGTCGCCGCGACAAATTCTGCAGGCTTCTCACCTGAAAGGAGACGTCCGATATCCGAATCGAGATCCCCAAACAGCTACCCAGTTGATGGGTCATAGGTCAATGCAGGTGTTATCACATTTTCACATATTTTCTTCATTCACCTTGCCAATTTTGGGGCCCCACTTCTAGCCAAACCCAGCGAAAGCTTGAAGTATCCAAGCCATCCACAGCCATGGGTATCTGACATGACCTGACCCACACCCATGTATTTTTTGGATCATGCCATCCAATTTCTACAGCCACTGAGCCAAAAAAAAATGCATAAAATGTGCTGGCCGCATTCTCCTGCAGTTGACAAATCATTGTTTCAAACCACTAGGATGGGAAGTGACCCAATCTAATCAATCTAATGCATTCATTTGCCAACTACCATTGCAGGATGTACGTCTTGCTGATCAAAAAATACCTCTCAGGATTCAGGAATGTTTTGTCACTGCTTTATATTGCAGCGCGACGCGACTGACGTTATTGTTTGGATGCTGCCGACATCAATGGATATAATGGATCTTTTAAAGGAACTGTCACAAAAAACAAGGGTTTTTGACCATCAAATAGAGGCCAACACCCTGCAACCCACTCTCAATGGAATGGGTCAAGGGAAAGATTACACCAACCTGGTTTCTTGTTACGGTTTGGAACTTTTAGCCCAATAAAGTACAGGGGCAATCGCCCGAGTACCTTTTCCCATCAACCAATTCTGGGATTATTTTTCTCTTGAAATTTCCGTTTTTCACATGGCAATTTCGGACAATGTTGGTGGCTTGGACAGTTGGACACGATGTTTTTTCATATTTTCTCTGATATTTTCTGCATTGTTTTGCGACCAAATGACACATCTCAGCTGCCAGAATCTCTGCTTTCAGTTCCTCTCGTGCTGCCTCCAAGGTCTTCTGGCTGCCAGGGCTGGTCCCCTGGCTGGTCGGCTTGCGGAGCATCCACTGACGGGGCTGGGCTTCCACCACCCAATAGCCACCTGGTTTCGTCAAAAAATGCCGGGAAAACCACAAACTTCACTTCCATGGTTTAGAACCTGAGATATTCGTACATTTTTACATTTTCAATACATTTTCCCCATGTTTTTTGATGGCCGTTTAAGTGCCAATGTCAGAACATGCTATGTGGCCCAGGCCATCAATTTTGGCATCCCCCATTCTCAAACACACCCATTTGAAGGCTTAGATCCACCATTTTCAGACCCGCAGAGGTCGATTATCTTCACAGTCTGAAGCATTGCCTCATCTTCACTATCCAAATTCTTCTCCGGGAATTACTATCCTTCTTTATCTTCATTATCTTTCTGTTTAGCATTGCCTTTGTTTATCAATCTTGGCACCTGCTGCAAAGAAGAAGGCACCGGGCAACGCATTGAGGAGGGCGTCATCCGCCGACCTGAGCCAGGCACAGCTCTGGGCTCTGGGTAGCTGGAAATCCTTTCGGAAAATCATGGAAAATCCATGGAAACATGGAAAGATCATCTATAAATATCTATAAATGGTGGATTTTCCATTGGTCAGATCAGGATCAATATCACAATTTCATACAATGTCCTCAATCTACTTGTGCTTTGGAGGTGGTTCCCCTTACCATCACTTGATGGTGAGGTCGTTGCGGGCTGTTACCAACTGTATATTGGACAAGCTACGAAGAATCTTCAATCCAAACATCGACCCAACATCGACCCAACTAATCCAGGGACTGACTTGTGCTTTCCGCATGATCTGCCAGGAAGGAAGAAAGATCTGCTTCCACTGCAGGCCAATCAAGGTCATCTCCCAACAAAATACCACCGGGTCGCACCAACTTGAAGGCCTCTGTAATTTCCAGTTTTGTTTCTCCTTTCAAGTGAGCGGAATCCAGATACAGAAAGTCCTTGGCTTTGGAACACATGGGTTTATCGAAAATAGGGCATCCTTAAATGAACTGGTTGATTAATATTGGTTAATCAGTAAGTTAATCATGGTTAATCATGATTTCCCCGTTTTAACTTAATTCATCTTCAATGTGGCTATAGGATGCCAAAAAGGGGGGTAATCCCCTCTTTTCAGAACGCCTACATGGAAAATCTTGAAGAAATGGCACATCCCCAAGCAAATCAACGAGGTCACCGGTTGGCCAACGCCTGGCAATGTGGATGAGGCTGATAATGAAGCCTTTAGGATCAACACACCATAGCAGTTTGCCTAATTACAGGAACTCTAAGAATCTCTAATTGTTGGTCGGAACATGTCGGAACGCTCCTGGTATTTTTATTTTGAATGGTGAAATCCTGAAGGTCCCATTTTGGCTAGTTACATCCCCCATGTACCCTCCGGTACGCGTTTACATAATTATAGAAACCCACCATTTTTTATGGGAAAATCAGCGAAAAATGGCAATTTTCAATAGCTATGTAAGCTATGTTAGTTTGCCAGAGGGTAAATTCCCATTTTGACTGGTTCTATACTTTGTGTATATAAATCATTATAAATCAAAAAAAAACACTCATCGGGAATCTGCCGCTTGGGGACAACCAAAGGCGTTCTTCCATCCGCCGCCAATAACTGAAGAGCACGCAGGCCACATAGGGAAGCAATCGGAAATGGCACGATGATATCTGCGTATTTCCTGGCTGGTTGGAGGTTGAGCCACAGTAGTTTTGGGGGATGGATGGTACCCTCTGGTTATTTAACATAGCCATGGAAAATCACCATTTTTAATAGGTAAACCATCTATAAATGGGTCATTTCCCATGGCTATGTTAAATAACCAGAGGGTATTCAATGGTACTCAATCCATTCCATAGGGCTGCGTAGGGTTTCACCCATTTGGAGGAATCACTTGGGATGAACAAAAGGTTTGGGCCACAGCACGTACAAATGTGAGCAAATCGGGATAATATTCCATGTACCCTCTGGTAATTTAACGTAGCTATGGAAAATCACCATTTTTAATGGGAAAACTCACTATAAATGGTCATTTTCAATAGCTATGTTAAATTACCAGAGGGTAAATCGGGATCATATTCCATGTACAGTAAATTATAAACGCGCTTGCTTTGACGGGGCAACATACAAAAAAAAACAAAAAAACAACTTGATTGAACGCAAAGTAAGCAGTTTCGCTGTGTTCACCATGAATTGCATGTAGAGCTGTGGGCAGCCATCTTTCAGCAACAAGCTTGATCTCCCAGTTGCTTGCTTGTTCAACCACATCGCAGCATCTCCCAGAAAAGTGTCAATGCAAACCAGGCAGGGTTTGACCTCTACCTGGGCCAGCTCGAGCCGCAACAAAGCCGAGACGATGCGGATGCTGCTGCCACCTTTGAAGGAGCCGACCTCCACCAGAAACCGAGGCCGCAAACGTTCGAACAAGGAGTACAGGACGTCCCCAGGAACGTTGGTGTGAGGATATGAATGGTCCTCTGGCTTCAACATGTTGCAACCCCCTTGAACAATATGCTCAATGGGGATCATCATCCCCAAAAAACATCAAAAAACACCAAAAAACATCGTCCTCCTTCATCGAAGTGCACAGCTTCAAGTAGGCCCCTGCAGATGTTCCGTGCAAATCTTCGCAGAGCCTCCGGTGCAAAGAGCCTGCAACACTGCCACGAAAGCATCGCTCCGTTGGAGCTCCAACGGACGGGAACCACCTCCGCCCCAACCAACCAGCGGCAAAGGAACTAGCTCCAACCAAACATGTGAGCTCCAACGGCATGGCTCCGGGTGTGTCTCAAAAATGATGAGGAAAAAGGTGAACAAAAACACACTTTCACTTTCAGTGCTTTTGTCATCATTTTCTGTGTAACTAATGCTATTTTGGGAATATTTCGATATATTTGTGGAGTATATCGGTATACCATAATTTTACCTATGGTTCTTGTGCCACCGTGGAGTCCTTGATATTGGAAATCGATGGAAATTGTCCAAGATCCAATCGCGGTGGTTTCAACATATACCCGAAAAAAATGTCGAATGGAGTTCTCATCCTAGGCATGGAAAACAACACATTTCAAGTCATACATTGTGATACTAATTTCTAATTGTGATGTTCCTTGTGTATATTGTATAGTGTTTACAGTGCATGTCTGGTTTTCAAGCCACGCTTGAAGGCTGACGAAGGACACTGATCCATCCGATTTCTCAGTGTGGAAACTGCCATCCCACATCAACTTCATCCACAACGATGCTGAATGATTTGGAACTACCCTCTGGTAAACTAACATAGCAATGGAAAATCACAATTTTTTTATGGGAAAATCCACTATAAATGGCCATTTTCAATAGCTATGTTAAATTACCAGAGGGTATGATGATCATTGATGATCTATATCCTCATCATTCCCCACTGACCAGCGTCTGACCAACCGTGATCTTTTCCCTGCTCTAAGTCACAGCTTGCTCCGTCGCGCTCACTTGCGACATCCTGCCATCCACGGCATGCTTCTGTAGCTGAGGGACACATTGTGAAAAGCAAAAAAAGATTGATTGGATGTGAATATTGCAGTCTAACCACTTTGGTTCTCGGATATAACTTGATATTATTCAAAAGATAATCTGATACTATTCAAAACAAGGCTCAATATGGTTCAACATGTTTTTGAGATGGTAGCGAAGAGGACTTGCGATGACTTGAAGGTCTCAGAGCAGGGTTCTCAACGAGGATTCACGAACAAAAACCTAGTACTTGCTGGTTTACCAACCATCATCTGTTGCAAAATATGGGTGTATCTGAAAATCGGGCGGGTATAATTACTCCTGGCAAATAGCCATTCTGATTGGAAAAAATTGATTAGAATCCATTGAAATTGGGGGTGGCTTAATTATTTTCAGACAAACCCAGCCCATATGGGTTTGGGGGGGTTCCCAAAAAGGGGGATCCCCAAGTCACCAAGTCGGGTTTCAAGTTCTAAGTCATGGTCTACTGACTTGGATGATTTGGGGATATTTCAGGATATTTGGGGTACTGGGGTACCCCCCTGACTTAGGAAATCTCCATATAAGGTGGTTTCCTAAAATAGCTATGCCCAGATCATCCATTTATAGATTTATATTTTCCAATATGGGTGTGTCTGAAAATAGTGTACCCCATTTACCCAATGGTTTTGCTGATCATTATCCCTATTTTCAATGGCTATTTCATTGGGAATATTAACCCCATTTTCAGACATACCCTGATATTTTCCAATATGTTTCCATAAATCTAGGAAGATTTATATTTTCCAATATTTTTCCCATAAATCTATAATTTTGAATTTTGAAGATTTATATGTTCCCATATTTTTCCAATAGTTTTTCCCATGAATTTTGGAAGTTCCCTTTCAACGAATCCCCCTGGTCCTGGAACGTTCTCGGGCGCCCGACCTGGAGCCATGGTTTTCGAAAAACCCGGCGCTGAAAACTTCCAGGACCACAATGGTGATGGAACACACCAAGGAGGTATATATATAAATATAATAATCTGTATATATATATGTATATATAGACATATATATATATACATATTTTATAGACACCTGGGGAAACCCTTGAGAATCTTTGAATACTTGATTGAAGGGTTTGAATGTATTTGGGTGGTTAAATTAACCTCAAAGGATTTCCAAGGCTTGCAGTTGTCTTGCCTGAAGCAGTATACTTGTTTACCCACGACCCAGATCAAATTTACCAAAACCCAACGGGAAATGTCATGAGATCTTCAAAGTCCTCCAACAATTCTAAACTTAGTCATGTTCAATATGTATATTATATATATACATATATATATATATATATGTATGTGTCTCCGTGTCTCCAGTGTACAATTAATCTACTATATACACATATTATATATATAAACGTATACTATATAACTCAACAAGCACCGTTCCTTCAGGTGCCTGCGTTTCAGCGAGCGCCAATGTCCTCTGGGATCTGACTTGTGCCCCTTGGGAAGGATGACCGTACGATTCATCTCATAACCTGGGACAGCAATGGCATAGGACGACTGTCCAACAAGGCCAATGACAATGACAATGTATACCCTCTGGTTATGACTAACATAGCTATTAAAAATGGCCATAGAAATAGTGGATTTTCCCAATAAAAATGGTGATTTTCCATAGCTATGTTAAATTACCAGAAGGTAATTAGTATGATAAAACTAGCCATGATTGCCATTTTTTATAGAATATAGTAGAATAATATGGTATAATCATTGGTAATTAGTTGATACAATGATAAAACTGGCAACGTATATGTACAATAGTTGGGACTGCACATGATATTGTACTTGTATGTATGTGTCATGTTTTATAATATGTTACACTGTTGGGACTGAGTCAATGGCAATGATCAATCTGAATAAAAGTTGGAATGATATTGATTAATTCAATGGTGCACTTACCTTTGATATCCTTTTTATTATCATTAAATAACATATGAAGATGATTGAGATTGTTCAATACATATTATCCCGGCTCTCAATTTATGATACATGGGTTCATGACAGTTACATATGTCCCAAGTATTACCTGATCTGGATTGATGGTCTCTCATTCGATGATCAATATGGAGACAGGCTTGGGATCGTAGTTGAGAAGGAACGGATACAGTAAATCATAATTTCTTTTTTTTAATAAACAAAGTAAATCTGGTGTAGGGCTCCGCAAACACTATCAATGCGCATCAGGAAATAAAACAGTAGAGTAAACAACTAGACTATGATAAACAACCATACCTGTTTCTACAAGTATGACTCGAAAAAACAAGACCTGATTTGAGGTCGCTGTAACGACATCCAATAAGCTGGCTCCAGGGCACCGTTGATCATCGCTCCCAAGCAGCTGGCATCACAGCCCACAAAGCGGAGTGCGAGCCTTTGTCAGAACATGTGGGAAAACAATCAGGAAATTATATAAGTGTTTGCAAAATCAGTGTCCCTATCAGATCTATCAGATATACTAAAGTGATCAAACAACTTTGGGTAATTTCAGACCCGATGCAAATTCATACAGTAATCGCTTTTAGAAGGTAGATGACCGTGGGAACTGAGGTATTTAGAATATAATTTAATTCATTTATGACTTAAGGGGGTCACCCATGGGCAGGCCACCCATGGTATCTTCGGAAAACCCAAGGGATCTTCATGATTAACCGCTGGGGAAATCGTTCAAAAATCAAAACCACCTTAAGCAAATCTGGGCAGTTCATGGCAATTTACTATTGTCCACAAGTTTGAAGTCTATGCAATCTGGGATGATTCCCCTAACCATCATGTATGTTAGTATCTCCCCCCCACCATGTGCCCTTTTTTATGGGTTTGTGTGAAAATCAAATACCAATCTCATGGCTCTTTTCCCATCTTTGAACATGCTGAATTCCCCTTTTAAAAAAATGGTGAAATATGGTGAAATCACATTTTTTTGTTGGTTTACCCTCTGGTAAACTAACATAACTATGGAAAATCACCATTTTCAATGGGAAAATCCACTATAAATGGCCATTTTCAATAGCTATGTTAAATTACCAGAGGGTAAATCCCCATTGGGATGGCATTTTTCTACCTCCATTGGCCACCTCCCAGGGGGCCCCCTTGGGCCCCTTGGGCTTCCGCGCCCAGCTCTACGGCGTTCACTGAAGTTGCCAGGGCTGCCGTGCACCGTGAGGTCCTGCCGTGTCATCACAATTTGGGCATTTTCTAAATGATTATACATATCTATCATACTATTATATCTATCTATATACATATATATATATATACACTACACATCCATATCCATATAATATATATATATATGTGTATCATATATATATGTATCATATGTATATATGTATCATATATATATACTGGTATGTATATGTATCATATATATGTATAATGTATGTATCATATATATATATATATATGTATGTATCATATATATATATGTATCATATATATATATATGTATCATATATATGTATCATATATATATACACACTAGTATGGAATATAGTGAAAAAACATGAAAAAACTCACTGGTCACAGTGAAGCAAACCTCAACAGTTTTGGCTCCAAAAGCAACATCTGCACGCTTTTCATGCCCTTTAAAAGGTGGACAATGCCGCAAAATGCCTACACTTGTGGCCTGAAGTTTGGCCTAAAGTGGCCTAAAGGGTCTTGAAAAAAAATACAAGGGCCTTTAAATCGATCCCCATGACATCCTATGACCATATATTTATATGTTTTATGTAATCTTGTTATGGAGTCACGACCATCTAGTCGAACACTCGATCCATGGGTTAAATAAATTACTATGCATGTGGTATCATCACTTCACTTCATTCTCAAATTGCAAAACAAATAAACCATACACCACTGACATCCACTGACCACATCCGTATGGTCAGCAGCAAAGTGAAACCACTGCGCCAGTTGCTGGATTGCCCCATTTCACATGGAATGCCTTCCCTAATCTGAACATATCACCTGGGTAGGTTCTCCTTGGTCCAATCCATGAAGATCTCAAAATTTGGTCCATTTTGGTTCCAATTTCCGGGTGGAATGCATGGATTTCCCCAATTCATCGACCCTGAGAATCATTTGACTTGGGTTTGGGCGCGTTCTTTAGAGCCCTTGAATTAATACGGAGGTTCTCTAAAATAGGGGTACCCAATAATACGGTAATCAGCGAAGTTTTTTGGGGTGTTTTTCCATGAAATAAACCCATGTTAGAAACCACCATATCCCCAGACCCTCCAGGTTTTACTGATCTGAGCGCTCGCGAAAAATCCCTGGGTGCGCCCGACGCTGTGGATTGAAGCATGGCCGGCGGCCAGGGTAGCACAAACCTGAAGAAACGGATGATGAAGGTCATGCAACGATGATGCTGTGGTTGGGTGATGTCATTTAGAATGTCCAAAATATCATGGCAGTTCGCAAGATTTATATATATATATATATATGTATGTATGTTTCATGTGTAAAAATACATGGATAAAAACAATCTAAAAACACAATTTTTACTGAAGGTTCTTTCGGTAAGATGTTAGATGTGCAAATTGAGCTGGCCCATGGTCAACCACCATGCCACAAAACCATCTCCAAAGCCTGCTGGGTGCCCGCCTCCTCTCCCAGAAGATCCACGTCCGGAATCTCCTGGTTGTAAGGCCAACCAACAAGTGTTCCACAGGCCCCCAAGAATCAAGTTGCCACACGGCGCCCCTCGCGGCAGCTCCAAGTATGGCCCTGCCTGTGTCAAAAGGTGGCGGTTGGCGCTCGTGGGTTTCCACGGCAATCTTCCTAATCCTTGGCAGCTGGACCAATGGGATGGTGAGAAGCACGCCTTTTTGAACGCTGCCGGGTTGGCGAGGCCAAACCTATTATTCGTGTGCCCCCTACCCAATATGAAAACAATAACCCGCAGGCTTATAACAAAGTTGTTCCCGGGGCTGTCAAAGTCACCCTAGCATACCCTAGCTTGAATCTCAAGCAGCCCTGATATTTGTCATGTGGCGCTGGTGCCTCGGAGTTTCGCTGCTGGTGGAACTTCAACTTCGCCCGTCAAGGCCAGGAGCTATTGGGCCTCACGCCCATTTATGAGATGTCAGTTGCCAGTTGGGCAGGGCTCGCTTGCGCCCTGGAGCCCAGGAAACCGAAGGCGTGCAGCGTCAAAATGTGTGATCCTTCCTCACAGCAAGGAACCTTCACTGCCAGGGCGGCAAATCATGATTTTGGCCTAGTTTGGCCATGCGGGCATCTGGGATTTGTTTTGTGTTTGCTATGCGTGCTGCATTTTTTCCATTGTTATCCATCGTTGGAAGGGCATCCGCGGCACATTTCAATGTGACAAATTAAACACGGCGTGCTAGGACTACGTCTGTAACTTCAATCGCTTCAGCATTCTTGGTTGCTGCGGTTGTTGCACGCTTTTGTTGAGAGTCGACTACAGAAGTAGCACAATCGTTTACCAAAAACGACTGCTTGTCTATTGTGCTTGGCAAAACTGGCATCAACATACATCAATTTGTCGATGTTTGATGTGTATTGATTTGTTGCCCAGAATTCCTCAATCCAGCAAAAACAGCCCAGTGTTGGTTTGAAGAGCATCCCTATACATCATACAGCGTTCCATTGGATCTGGTTTTCGCAGGTTTGTTTCCAAGAGAAGCGACGACAGAAAACCCCTGAAAAAGGTGCTGCAAATCCTGAATTTAAGCGAAAATCCGCGACCAGTTTTGCGTTTAAAACGCCTACAACAACCTTCAGAACTAAACACGAGCAAAAACATGCAAAAACCAAACAGCATCAAACGGCTACACATCAGAAGAAAAGAGGAAATGTTGGTCAAACAATGTCAAACATGTTGTTTCTGATCCTTCCGTGGTCGTGCCCGATGCCCAATGACTCCTGCTTGAAATTGAATTGAGCTTTTAAGCCCTTTTAAGCGTTGGACTATAGCTGTCGTCAAAGTTGGGTGCACTATCATATTCCCGAAGAAAAACAACAACACATGTACTACAGTAGATCTACAGTAGATCTATGGTATCATGTACTGACATACTGTATCATAATGTATCATAGGCTTCACTGCCACTGCAGCCACATAGCTGGCTGAACCCACTCGACCACTTTTTTCTGGAAACGACCACATCATCACTTCACTTCATTCTCAAATTGCAAAACAAATAAACCATACACCACTGACATCCACTGACCACATCCGTATGGTCAGCAGCAAAGTGAAACCACTGCGCCAGTTGCTGGATTGCCCCATTTCACATGGAATGCCTTCCCTAATCTGAACATATCACCTGGGTAGGTTCTCCTTGGTCCAATCCATGAAGATCTCAAAATTTGGTCCATTTTGGTTCCAATTTCCGGGTGGAATGCATGGATTTCCCCAATTCATCGACCCTGAGAATCATTTGACTTGGGTTTGGGCGCGTTCTTTAGAGCCCTTGAATTAATACGGAGGTTCTCTAAAATAGGGGTACCCAATAATACGGTAATCAGCGAAGTTTTTTGGGGTGTTTTTCCATGAAATAAACCCATGTTAGAAACCACCATATCCCCAGACCCTCCAGGTTTTACTGATCTGAGCGCTCGCGAAAAATCCCTGGGTGCGCCCGACGCTGTGGATTGAAGCATGGCCGGCGGCCAGGGTAGCACAAACCTGAAGAAACGGATGATGAAGGTCATGCAACGATGATGCTGTGGTTGGGTGATGTCATTTAGAATGTCCAAAATATCATGGCAGTTCGCAAGATTTATATATATATATGTATGTATGTTTCATGTGTAAAAATACATGGATAAAAACAATCTAAAAACACAATTTTTACTGAAGGTTCTTTCGGTAAGATGTTAGATGTGCAAATTGAGCTGGCCCATGGTCAACCACCATGCCACAAAACCATCTCCAAAGCCTGCTGGGTGCCCGCCTCCTCTCCCAGAAGATCCACGTCCGGAATCTCCTGGTTGTAAGGCCAACCAACAAGTGTTCCACAGGCCCCCAAGAATCAAGTTGCCACACGGCGCCCCTCGCGGCAGCTCCAAGTATGGCCCTGCCTGTGTCAAAAGGTGGCGGTTGGCGCTCGTGGGTTTCCACGGCAATCTTCCTAATCCTTGGCAGCTGGACCAATGGGATGGTGAGAAGCACGCCTTTTTGAACGCTGCCGGGTTGGCGAGGCCAAACCTATTATTCGTGTGCCCCCTACCCAATATGAAAACAATAACCCGCAGGCTTATAACAAAGTTGTTCCCGGGGCTGTCAAAGTCACCCTAGCATACCCTAGCTTGAATCTCAAGCAGCCCTGATATTTGTCATGTGGCGCTGGTGCCTCGGAGTTTCGCTGCTGGTGGAACTTCAACTTCGCCCGTCAAGGCCAGGAGCTATTGGGCCTCACGCCCATTTATGAGATGTCAGTTGCCAGTTGGGCAGGGCTCGCTTGCGCCCTGGAGCCCAGGAAACCGAAGGCGTGCAGCGTCAAAATGTGTGATCCTTCCTCACAGCAAGGAACCTTCACTGCCAGGGCGGCAAATCATGATTTTGGCCTAGTTTGGCCATGCGGGCATCTGGGATTTGTTTTGTGTTTGCTATGCGTGCTGCATTTTTTCCATTGTTATCCATCGTTGGAAGGGCATCCGCGGCACATTTCAATGTGACAAATTAAACACGGCGTGCTAGGACTACGTCTGTAACTTCAATCGCTTCAGCATTCTTGGTTGCTGCGGTTGTTGCACGCTTTTGTTGAGAGTCGACTACAGAAGTAGCACAATCGTTTACCAAAAACGACTGCTTGTCTATTGTGCTTGGCAAAACTGGCATCAACATACATCAATTTGTCGATGTTTGATGTGTATTGATTTGTTGCCCAGAATTCCTCAATCCAGCAAAAACAGCCCAGTGTTGGTTTGAAGAGCATCCCTATACATCATACAGCGTTCCATTGGATCTGGTTTTCGCAGGTTTGTTTCCAAGAGAAGCGACGACAGAAAACCCCTGAAAAAGGTGCTGCAAATCCTGAATTTAAGCGAAAATCCGCGACCAGTTTTGCGTTTAAAACGCCTACAACAACCTTCAGAACTAAACACGAGCAAAAACATGCAAAAACCAAACAGCATCAAACGGCTACACATCAGAAGAAAAGAGGAAATGTTGGTCAAACAATGTCAAACATGTTGTTTCTGATCCTTCCGTGGTCGTGCCCGATGCCCAATGACTCCTGCTTGAAATTGAATTGAGCTTTTAAGCCCTTTTAAGCGTTGGACTATAGCTGTCGTCAAAGTTGGGTGCACTATCATATTCCCGAAGAAAAACAACAACACATGTACTACAGTAGATCTACAGTAGATCTATGGTATCATGTACTGACATACTGTATCATAATGTATCATAGGCTTCACTGCCACTGCAGCCACATAGCTGGCTGAACCCACTCGACCACTTTTTTCTGGAAACGACCACATCGTCCATGACAGTCCAGGTTGTTGAATTCTTTTCACATTCCCAAGGTTCAGTTCTAGAATTTGCTCCAGGATTTGAGATGCAAACCACCTTTTTCTGATGTTGAATGGTGCTGTTGCCACACCAAAGCCGATTTTCTTTGGCTGATATGCTATAATGCAGATCTCAGAGACCCTTGCCTGACCTGATTGTTTTGAAGCCCGTCATCCAGATTGTTCGCAAACCCCCTAGAACTCCTGAACTAGTGCTTAAAACAAGTGAACAACTTGTTTTCCCATGGTTCAGCCGTACTGAGACTTCTGAAATACAAAGTATTTTTTGCAAATGAACGTTGTACGCTGGGCGTAAGGCCCTAAGACTACAGTAACACTGTATGCTGTACCCGAAAGATTCTTGCGACATTTCTTTGCAACTTCGAAGTAGAACATCGATCCAAACCCGGTTTTTGTTTCAACATGGCAAACAAAAATAGAATATATTTTGGGATGATCCTCCCAAAATAACAGAATGGAACATGGAAGGTATTTTTAATCCACAAGCGATCGCATTCCTATCAGAACATGATGTATACGAACTCAAAACTCGGAAAAAATCTCGCCGTACTGCAATGTAACGTACGCTATGCGCTGTAAGGACACACATTTTCACCGTTGCGTTGTCCTCAATATATAAAATATTATAAAATCATATAATGAATATACTTCCTTTCTGCTAAAACTGTTCAAAATTCTTTTCTCATCTCGTGGTTTTGGTCCTCATCCCGTCCACGAACAAGGCTGTCTGAAAGTAGGGCATCCGGTTATTAAAAAATAGAATAGCCATAACAGATAAACATATATTATACATTGTTATACTAACTCAATGACTCAACTGCCCCATTTTGAGGCCCCTCATCCTCATCCCCTACGGCTCCCAACGGTGCGAACCCTTGACGAAGCGCACAGCGCCATTCATCTCGTCTGTGTCGTCAAAGGCCAGCCAGAGAGTCACTGCGCGAGACCTATGGGCGAACTGATCGAAGAGTGGCTCCCCAAAATGCGGAAACTAGTTTCACACACCAGAAAAATTGGGATTCTGGTGGTTTCAAAGTTTCACATGGACATGTATTCAAGTAGAAACCATTGATCATAGAACCCTAAGGGGTCCCCCAAAAAAACGGACCACCCAAAAATACATCCTTATTTGTGAATTATTTGCAAAACGACAATGTTCTTTATTTGTGGTTTATTTGCGGGTTATTTTTGGCATAGTCATGAGATATTTAAGGGGTACGTATTTGGGGGGTATGAATTGAACATTGGAATTTACCCTGAAGCAAACAAACATACGAGTAGATATGTAAGAAAACATGGAGAAATGGCACTTGTCCATACCTAGGTTGATTTACTGGAGGGTAAAATTATAGTGATCATGACGATCGTTAGTAATAATTGGCTAAAACCCTATGATGATGATGATGATGATGTCAATCAATCATTATACCCTCCGGTAAACTAACATAGCTATGGAAAATCACCATTTTATAGCTGGGAAAATCCACTATTTCTATGGCCATTTTCAATAGCTTTTTGTATGTTTACCAGGCCGGGTAGTATGAAGACAATGTCGCTTTTGGGAGTGATACTGATAGGATCTGTTCAAGCGGCTGATGATCCTGGGAGTAGAAGTTGATGACGACAGTAGGGGGCCCGGAATTTCTGGGGTGCTCACTCTCCTGTGAAAAATCTGAAACAGTTACCCTCTGGTTATGACTAACATATTGAAAGATCCACCATTTTTAATGGGAAAATCCACTATTTCTATGGTCATTTTCAATAGCTATTTCGACATAACCAGAGGGTACTGACACCTGGCAACATCCAAATGTATTTTGACTGATGTTTGACTTATGACTCAGCAAGAAAACCCTCTACCTTGGTTACCTTGAGTAGTTAAACCCCCGGCTCATTTACAACATCCCGTTTTTGATTGCCAACCCCACTATCCAACAATACTGACTAATCCATTCTCCCTAATCCCAAAATGAATAGATCCAATACTAAGCCACATGTGGTTTAGCTGTTTAGCTGCGGAACGACTGGTGCCAGAAGTGAACCACGGATGGATCCAACCAACTGAACATGTAGCAAACATGATCAACATTCATTGCATAGAACTATAGAAGCATAATATGTATATTGTATATATACCGTACCTATATAAAATGATTTCATGTATATTTAACAATATTTATACCGTATGCAGAAAATATTAAGTCATCTTCCAGAGATCAAAACGTTTGTACAGTAAAATCATGTAAAATCAATATTTTTAGTGAAAATCATTGTGGACAATTGGATTTTTGGGTCTCCAATCTTGAGACCCAGGCCATCCCAGGCAGACAACCGGGTCCCAAACTCAGAGAGTGGCCAGAAGCCAGCATCCTGATATGATACGCGGCGCCCAAAATAAGGAGGGGGTAAACTTGACCTTGTCATGGCGAGCCTTAGATGCCCGTGAAATTAGTATATCAATACGTCCCAGAATCAGTGTTGCACGAGAATGGAATGAATGGAATGAATGGAGATATTATACATGACATGCCCAATCATGCAATATGGATCATCTTAAAGTCTTAAAATAACTTTAACAAACACATAAAATAGTCACATGATCACATGGGATATGAACAATCCCACCATTCGTCCAGCCTGGTGCCACGGTTGTGACGTGGGATCCGCAGGCAGTTTGCAGAACAAGTGGGCACTCCAGCAGCAAAAGTGTGGCCTCACGTCGAAGAAGGCGCTAGCTCAGTTGGCCCGGGCACCCAATGGCCCAAGTCATTGAGAGTTAGATGTTAGATATTTTAACATGTCTATGTCATTTCTTGATATTGCGTAAGGTTATAAAAATACCACATTATCATTCTTTATAACATGAATATATATATATATATATTCTTATTAATTTTATCATTTCTTATTTATTTAAGTGGCATTCTTATGCCATAGGCCATAGGTTATCGATCAAATGGGTGACTTCACCCTGTTCATCTGGTCATCCACATAGTTTCTGTGTAATGGAGCCGAGAGAAAAATCCACGACATCTGGGTAAATTATAATAATTCACTAAGCTGAATTAAGGCCATTTGGGGATGATTCCCCTTATTAACCATGATTTCCAGGGTTCGGTCGCAGTGAGGTCGTGATGTAATTTACCCAGACGACATGCTACGACTTGGAGAAGATCTTCAGATCAAGTTCATGGTCTCCCTTGCCTGGGATTTGCTCTTCAAGAGTTGCGCTAAAAAAATCTAAAAAAAATGATGAAAACAAACTCTTCCGATCTATTCCTTATGGATTCCCCTGGATTTATGTGGATTTTCTGGGAAAATCACCCTGACCCTCCGGTCATCAAAGATGGCAATGTGGAACATTCCCCCATTCCATGATGTTTCCTATATTTTGCGATGCCCCATGGCCAGGTTTCCACTTCCACGGTAGCTCCTCATCTTCTCTGGATACTTCAAGGCCATCAGGTTCTGTACAAAGTAGACGTACTGATCAGCATTGGACACCGCTTGGGCCGTGGCCAGATCCAAACAGGGCTTCACACCTGGATACTTGGCCTTGATCCCCTGAAGACTCCAATCACTGAACTGGTTTGAGGGAAGATCTTCACTGGAAACCAGGTTTTTTGACTTCAAATATCACATGGAAATTATCAATCTCTGGGATCGAAAGATTTGATGATCAATTAGGATATACCCTCCGGTAAACGTTTACATAACTATGGAAAATCACCATTTTTTTATGGGAAAATACACTATAAATGGCCATTTTCAATAGCTATGTTAAATTACCAGAGGGTAAATGGATATACTATTCCTCCGACTAACAGCTGGGCCCTGATAATAGTCCATTCAAAGATGAAGTAGTCTTCGAACACCCAATGCGGATAGTTGGAGGGTCTATGCTACTTGGAGTATATAATGGGACTAGGATACATTGGGTGCTTACCGTACTGTTCATCATTTTTCATCAAATCCAGAACAGCTTTGCATTTACCCTCTGGTAAACTAACATAGCTATTGAAAATCACCATTTATAATGGATTTTCCCATTAAGAATGGTGATTTTCCATAGTTATGTTAAATTACCAGAGAGTAACAAATATACACCTACACCTGGATGGAACATCATAATTCACTAACCTGCAAAGGACACGGTCATTGTGGGACACTTACCCCAATCCAATCCACCATCATACCACCCCACTGTATATCCCAGGTTGTATCCCCAGTATAGTTCCTGAAAGGTCCATTGTTTCAAACGGAAAAAAATCAACCAGCTCAACCCATCCAAGATGCCATATTAGCCAAATCTTTGGTACCATAGTGATGAGAGGCTTCATGAATGATGTTGCCCACGTGAAACAGAGAGGGCGACTGCCAGGTGATGGGACCTGGATGTGGATCACGTAGAGCGTAGGGGCTGCGAAAAGTGGTATCCTGACGAATGTCAACCAAGGATTCAAAAGCCGGCAAGTTATCAATAGGCGAGGGTACCAGTTCTCATAGTACTTGATCACTGAAACACAGGGAAAACCCTGAAACAATTCAGAGTCAGGGTTTTTCCTTCATCAGGGGTTGACATGATTCAGCCATCCGTAAGAGATCAGCTCAAAACAGGGATCATGAAAAAGCCATTCCCGGAATATCACTCTCTGAACCACCTTGATGTTGGAATATGTTTGGTTTTTCATCCATTTTTGTCCAAATGAAAAACACATTACCCTCTGGTAAACTGTTACATAACTATGGAAAGATCCACCATTTTCAATGGGAAAATCCACGAACTAAATATCTATTTCCATCACCATTTTCAATAGCAAACTGTTGACATAACCAGAGGGTACAACCAAATCGATCCAACATCCGCAGCAGACTTCAACCAGCCTTTGAAGAGGTTCTTCACCTGAGACATGCTAAAAATAGCAGTTTGGTTCACAGGAGTTTCTTCTCATCCAGCTTGAGATAAATGAATATAAATGAGATAAATCCATGCAACATCCCATCAAGATGCTCCCCCAACTGTTGTGGAAATATGATAATGTTAATGTATTATATAGCTCCTCTGGTCAGACTCTAGATGGATCTAGATGGAAGTATATAGGTCTAGAATCTGAACTTCTCCATTAACACATGGGTCTACATGAGTCGGAGAGGTTGCAACCCCTATCTCTGGGGTCCACCAAAACATAATATCCCACCTTCTCGTTGTGGTACTCCAGCTTCAAAATCTCCAATGCTTCCACCCAGCGTGTGGCCAGCAAGGCACTCCTCGTGAATTCTTGCTCCACCTGGTCGCTGATCAGAAACCCACCGGCCTGGAACTCGGGATGGGGGCGGCTGCCACCCTGCAGCAGGGACAAAGTCGAGGCCTGAAAGGACGGGCAAGGGTAGCGATCGAAGAATCTCTGCAGCACTTCTCTCAGCAAATCTCTGGGCTGTTGAAAATCCTCCGCCAACATAGCAGTTGTGGTGCCATCCGAGACCAGATCTGGGCTTGGTGGAGCTGCGACCAGGGGCGTATTCAGCAACTCATCGATAGAGACATTCATCGTGTCCAAGCATCCAGTGTCCAGGCAAGCCATGTCTCTTGCTGGCACTGTCTCATGAAGAATTCTTGCGCTTCGGTTCATAGTGGCTTGGCAAAATTGCTGGAGCAGGATCTCGGAAGTCAAACCCAAGGTCTCTAAGAGTCTCTGAATCTCTTCTTTAGAAGCCTGCAAGGCATTTGCCAACTGATCCTTGCGAAAACTTCCATGTACTGACGGCAGCTCAAGAAGTTCGGCCGCTTGACGCAAATCCTGCTCGTCGCATGTATACCCTGTGTTCGTCACACCTCTTCCGCCAGACCCTTTTTCCGATAAGAACCGTATGGCGGCACAACAACACAGCCATTGAATCAAATAGCAGGATCGCAAGGTGACCATATGGGCGACGTGGATTATCAAACTACGCACTGCAAAGATAGCAGGAAGGACTGACCTAGAGACTTCTGAGTTGTAACAGCGGCAGAAGAAGGAAACAAACCTTACCAAAATAAAACATGCTTTCCACAAACCTGGAAATATCATGATATATTGATGGAAAATGCTGCAGCAGGGTGAATTTGACGATGCATTCGGTCAGAAAAGAAAGCTGCGTAGTGATCAAAGGCGGAAATTGTATCAATTTGTCCATGATGCTTGGCTCATTGACTGTCCAATACAACCTGCAAACAAAAACATAATATCACAACCGTCCAATCGACGAGCTTTATCGTAAAACCCTTCGGAGAATGGCAATGTTTTGTGGCACACTTGTCTCAAAAAAAAACTGGAAAGTGTAAAGCATCTATTCTATGCAAAAGGCTGTTGAGTTGAAAAGCCACTGCGAACCTGCTTCAAAAGTGAAGGTGTCCAATCCAATGATCACCCGAAAAAAAAATCCAAAGACCACAGTTGGGCTGAACATCTATGAAAATCTCTTGTGTTACTTGGAAATTTGGAATCCCTAAAACTGTCCAAAAGACGAACCATTCCGCGCTGTTTCCACCTGGATCACCAAACCCCAAGCCCCCGCACCCGAGGATATCCTGCGAAGCACGTCTGGGAGGAGCTGAACATAGCTGAACCATCTGAAATTTCTTTTCTTTCCGGCTATTCTGAAATAGCTGCTTTCAAAATGTGAGCATTTTAGGCAAAATGTGCATAAAAATCCCTTCCCTCGAATAGCTCCCTTAGAAACCTGGGCTACCTGGGATGCTTTGTACTGGATCTGTTCATCCCAGACTGGGGCATTTTTTATATTTTGGGATGCTTTAAGAAATCTGAGCCATGGTCACTGCTGAACTCCTCATAGCTTAAGATGCATGGACATATATATATATATATATAATATATACACACACCATATCTTCGAAGATACACAACAATTTACAATCTAGGTTGATGTGAACAGCAGGCTACCACGTTACATATTCCGTGACTAAAATCCATAGACATATTCCGTCTTACATATTCCGAATATTCCTGGTATTTCCTGATTACCTATCCCTTTTCATACCCAGATACAGTAGATTGCCATATATTTCCTCTTAGAAAACAAATCTGCTACGCTACCAGTCGTGTCTGAACCCGATTTTGTTGAGTCATCTTGACCAGCCACGGTCATTTCGTGGGGAATATCATCGTTCACCCAAAAAAAACATCCAGAATTCCATTAAAAAAACACATCCAAAATGGTGAATTGATCCAATTTTTTTATGGTACCAATCCTATGGTACGATAGTTTTATAAGTAACTATAGTTGTATCATGTTGTATCCTTAACCATAAGGATACCCTCTGGGAAATTGAACATTTTGGTATGGAAACTCACCACTTTTAAATAGGTGGTTTCAAATCATCGAACTAAATGGGCCATCTAATTGCATGGGAAACTCTGACTTTTTTATCACTGAAATATCACCAATAATACCAAGATTAATCACCATTTTCTGTATCAATATAACTTATATCACCTTTTAACATATCATAATTAATATCGCCACAACATGTTGCCATATTAACCAATTTATAGCTATTGTTCACCATCCCAAAGAATACATCGATTGGTGCAGAAAATCATGGTGCTTGTTTTCCGATGGCGGATTAATATAATGTTCTTGTAATCCCAATAAACCAGTTATATCCAGTTATATAGTATAGCAATGTATAGATATGTATCAAGCAGTATATGGTAATCCAACGGTTGATTTTTGTATATTGTTATTATTCTTGGGATTGTCACAATCATTATTGGGATACATTGGGAATAACTCCCTATACTGTATTAACCAATCAACAAGGGTATGGAGGTTTCCTAAATCGGAATAGCCCCATATCATGGGAAGTCATGACTTGGGGATCGCCCATGACTTAGGAAACCTCCATTTACCCTCGGTCGGTCATCATCATTTTATGGCTGGGTAAATCAACATCATTTATATTGCTATTATCAATAGCACACTGTTAGTTTACATTTATCACATCTAACCATTTTCAATACCATCTGGTAAATCATACTATTGAAAACAGATAAGATTTAATGGATCTGGGTAAATTATAATAATTCACTGACCTGAATTAAGGCCATTTGGGGATGATTTCCCTTATTGACCATGATTCCAGTGAGGTCGCAGTGAGGTCGTTATAATTCACCCAGATGGATATGGGGGTATAGCCCATTTATTACATCTTCTCAGCAGGCATCGCCAGGCCTCAACGATGTGCAGCACCCTTTCATGCCTCGCCAAGCGCTGCACCAGGTCCTGTCGCAAAGTCCCGGTCGACGTTTGGGGGAAAGCTATGGGAAACCTGTGGGGAAATCCCCAAGAGTTGATGCTTTGGCATGGTTTAGGATAGTTTCACTGGTTGACAATTTTTGTGTTTTGTGGCCAAGTACCACATTGTGAAAAACCATATATCCGTGTTTAAGGGCATTACCTTTATATTAATATTTTGCCAACTTCAAGCAGATCCAACTCGTGATACCATTCGGTCCTTCCATTCACCTGTTGAATATGCGTCATTCGAAATGGGCAAAGTTATTCGTTCTGTTGGGCTCTGGAACAGTTGTGCGCTAATTCATGTAAATTCATGTACACAAATCTCAACCTTCTTACCGTGCGGCTTCTCTGACATGAAAGGAGCAGAGATAGGTTTGGGTCAACACTGTTGGAACACCTTATATAAACTGAACAGGTGAAATCACACTGTACTTCCTTCACTTCTGAGATACAAAAACAGGGTGAGGTTGCTTGTGCAAGTATGTGTCATGGTCGAAATGCCTGTACTAGTAGTGGTTAAACTATGTTAAAGTCAGCCCACGATCCACTTGTTTTGGCATCATTTCAAATCTCAATGGATTGGCTTAAGGGAAAATCTTAACCGGAAACCCATGGGTTTTTACCATCAATTATAGGGGTTTCCTGTAAATATTCCCATCATCCAATTCTATGAAAATCATCATTTTTTCCCGATCTCAGAGCCTTGTTCAAGCCACTTCCCCAAATCATTGGATGACTTCATCACAGGGGGCTGTCTCCCAGGATTTGAACCTGGACTCCATCTCATGGTCTGGAAAATCAAGGAAAATAACAGAACTATTTCACTACCCTGAATTGTTGGGCCATTTGGGATGATTCCCCTTACTAACTATAATTATATATTATATATATATATACAAATACTAATATAACTTTCGCCATCAAGAAATAGGCATGTTTTTATCATGTTTTGAGGTACCCTCTAGTTCTTCAAACATGGCCTGATGGCAAATCCCCTTCAAATGGAGGGGATTTATCTCCCGAATCAGGTACCTGGTGCAGTGGCCGAGCCAAGGTATGGGCTGCACGAAATTTGGCATCTTCATCCTCAGCCGTGGTCAAGGCACTGGGCTATACCGGCTATACCAATAGTCTTGACGGGTCATTTGCAACACCGTAATTGGGAGTCATGTTGGAACTTAGGCAGAATATGATTACATAATTCCATACATTACATGTTGTTTCTGAAATGGGCAACAGACTCTTGTTCAACTTAGAGGGCAAGAAAGAGGATTGGTCTGCCGAAGTTACAGAGACTGCAGAAGTGTGGCACCTTGTCTAAAGTTTTCTCTTGCCCAGGGTTAAAATGGCCAAGTCTTGCAACTGCATAATGTACCACATTGCGCAGCTGAAGACACCAGCTCACCAGTATGCACTAATTAGGCATTTCCTAGAGCAGGACCATCACATGGAGGGGAACGCTCCTAAAGCAGCTGCAACCCTCACAATTCCAGCTACACCTTTGCCCATTTGAGCACAGGATGCAACCACTGATGCACCGTCGCGGACGGAATAGTGCGACTCGAAGTGGATCCGCTGTTCAGCCTCAAAAACATGAGCTACTGCAGTGTACTTGATGGACAATTCTGCCTCGGCCTTGGCTTTCTCACAGTTCAAGAGCGAACATAAGATGAATCGAGGCACTATGAATGGCATAGTCAGGGTCTCCCAACAGCACCTGCCAACGCCCACATCCTTCTTGAGTGTGAACAGCTCCGTTCCCATGCCACGCGTTACAAGCCAACGTTTGCTGAGCAAATTTTTGGCAGCAATGGTACGACCAGCCACAAAGTCCTGGTTGACCTTCTCGTGCAAGTCGCACAACCACTTCGCCACCATCAACTTGTTCTCTTTGTTTTGATCTGTCTCTTGGTTCAAGTATGGTGTCGACATAGAATCCAAAGTGGACAATATATGATCCATCGCCCATTGCAAATCAACATCGTCGTTGATGCCTGCGTGATACACTTCCATCACTCCATGCTCGGTCTCTGATATATACAACCAGGTCTGGTACCTTGCAAACCACCCATGTGAGGTTTGGCGTTCTTCGAAGAAATAAGGGAACACTATGCCCCTGTGACCACAACGCCTGTAGAGCTTTGGCATCAGGTCACGATTCACACAGGAGGACACGCTGATACATTTCAAGCAGAATCTTCGGGCAAATATAGCTGCGGGTTCTTGAGATTCCGAAACGGCAGCAAGTTTCTTCATGAGAGCCAGGAGCAAAACCAAATCGGTTGATGTCTGGGTCCTAATTCTTGACTCGTTAGCCTTGCTTCACTACAGCACCTGCTCTAGACTTCCAGACTTCCTGCCTCATATTCTCTTCCAACTTCCACAACTTGGCTATCAAATTAGGACTTGTACCCCCATATACTAGCTACCCACAGCTACCCACAGTCAATCATCAGTCAACCAGGGGTTCAACAATCCTGAAGCTCCACTCTAAGCCTCCCGCAGCTGCGCGCTCCTAAACTGAATTTCAAAGTGGGCATGTGGGATGTTTTTCTCTACCAGGTACCACTCAGGTTCAGATTTCCCACACTGCCAAAAGCACGGGACAACGACTAGCCTCAAGATGTTGAATAGCAACAGACTCTGTTGCCAAACATGAGGATGTGTAGCCATAGTTTGCTCTGGATCTATTGAACAACAAACATCATGAACAATCTTGTCTGTTTTTTGTCTGCGGCATTTCAGGTTAAACCCCAAGAATTTGCACTTGGAGTATCATCCCTTTTAGTATCTGGTCAAGCGAAATCTGCCTAAAGTCCCCAGCTGTCAATCAATATCACCATGCTAATAAAAAGGCCTAACACAATTTTTCTTCCCTGTAATTTTTTCTAAATCCTTTGCGCTATGGATACCCTCTGGTACTTGCTGGAAAATCCATGAAAACCCACCATCTATGACAATGATTTTCCCAGCTACTATGAATGCCCATTGACTTCCGGGATTTCCCAGCCTTGTTTGATTACCGTACCTGTAGGTACATCACCATCATCAAAATAAGACATCGCAAAATGTCATTATACATATATATATACATACATACATACATACATATATAAGTATATATATATATCATGATATTAGCGTGTATTGAATTCTAATGATCACTTACATATTTCATGAAGCACGAAGCACCGCTTTTGTGCGCCCGGACGGTTCGCTCCAGCAGCAGCTGGTTGAAGTCTTCCCGTGCCGTGGCCAAGGCTTCACCCAAGAGGACCGGAAGATTCAGCCTGGGGCTGGGGCTGGAAGGCATGGCTACCCTCTGGTTATGTCAACATAGCTATTGAAAATGGCCATTTATAGTGAGTTTTCCAATGAAAAATGGTGATTTTCCATAGTTATGTAACAGTTTACCAGAGGGTAAAATATGCTCAAATTGAAAGAAGAATGCCAGAAATTTGGTGAAATATGGATGAAACATATGATTATATATAATATTCTATAACATATGGCATACATTGTTAATACATAAACCATGGAAAATTGCTTGAACATGTAGAAACAATCACTTTGCCCACGAAAATTTGGCGATTTGGTGGATTTCAATCCATGACTTGGGGATTTGGGACCTGAAGGAGCGGATAGAATTGGTTTCCAGCAATTTCTGCCTGAAATCAACACATTGACTGGGGTACTTTACTAAGACTTGTTTTTTCAGCAAATTGCGGCTCGACACTCAGTACGAGTACGGTGCAACCACAAAAGCTGGGACCATTGTTTGCCGGGTCCCGGTCTTGAGCTCTGACACATCTGACACATGGCTCATTTAGTATTATCCCACGGTTTTAAACTGGTCCTGCTGGTGTTCCTTCTTGAGTTGAAGACCCCCAGGAAAGAACACTTTTGGTCGCTTTGGGTCATACCCTCTGGTAAACTAACATAGCTACTGAATTGAAAATGGCCATTTATAGTGGATTTTCCCATTAAAAATAGTGATTTTCCATAGCCTATGTTAGTTTACCAGAGGGTAACCATCGAATGAACCAGCACACAGCACAGGTGTCACCCCCTTTCATCCCCTTCAATGGTTCATCCGAGGGACAGGAAGCCATCTTCTCGGTACGCGTCCAACTGTGCAACATCCAGGGCTTTACCTGACGCTTAAAAAGGGGTTCCCATCGCATGGATAGCCCAGATAAAAGGGGGCGAACCTGGAGTGCCGTGCACTTTCGTTCTCAGCTCGGTGGTGGCAACGAAATAGTCCCCCCCACAATTCATCAATAGTTTCCGTACTAAAATTGCCATTTTGGGGAAAATCCCGCGTTGTCAGACATGCCCAAATACAATCAAACAAATATCCTTGATTGTTGTATATCCCCTGATATCCCATGACATCCTGATAAATCCAATTAAATCCCATTAAATGAGGGCTACATTTAGTGGGTTGACGCCTCATTTTTCCCAACCCTGTCCGTTTCGCCTGGAGACCTCGATACCTGGAAGGGATGAAAGCTCAGGTACAGATGTGCGGCTGTCAAAACTCCTTGTTCATGAAAAGGACATCAACATCATTTGGAAAGGTCCCATCACCAACCACAGTTTCGTAGCAATTTTACCATCATGAATCCTTGTGCCATATTGATTTACAGGGGGTATCGCTAAGCCTAAACGCAGCTAAAGTAGATATGATATTGTATTTGTAGTACTAGTAAAACTAGTAGTACTACCCATATCAGTAGTACTAAAATACTGGGTATACTAGAAGTAGTAGCAGCGCCAGTAATACTAATGATAGTGATTTTAAGGTATTGGAAGTACTAGAAGTACTAGCAGTACTAGAAATACTAATAGCATCTAATAGCAGTGCGATATTCTAGCGATACCCCAAGAGTTGCGATATCCTTGGTATAAACTGTGGTATAAACTGTGAACACCTGTGAAGCTCCGGCATATCGCAACATGGATGGCTCCAAGTCATCGCTTTTAAAGAGCTGGATCATCATTAAAGGGATGATCCTTTGGCCTTAGACTACGACAATGGTGGGTCATAAGATCCATGGTGGACGCGAAGCCGTCGCTGATGCGACATCGTGCAGCAATCAACTATCATTCCCTAAAGTCACAAATCCATTCAAAACCCGGTATATTTGAAAGATTTGCACATCTACATATATTGGTTATAGCATGTTATAGCATTTCCCCAAAAATGAGATATAGAAAATAAGAATCCTACTAAAACATCAGTGATTATCAATTAGCAAATGGGTAGTTCTCCACTGTAATTGTCTCTGTCTACCAGCCCGGGTCCCACCTCCCGAAAGGTGTACTGCTTCAAGGGTTCCAATTCCTTCAGAAGCATTGGTTTTTTGGAGGATGTTCATGGATTTTCATGGGAATTTTCATAGACCTTTATAGAAATTTCATGGATTTTCATGCCAATCAAAGGGAAATGGTTTCCATCGAAAAAGTGAGAAAGTCAAAAAACGTATACCCTCTGGTAAACTAACCGTTTGCTATGGAAAGATCCACCATTTTTCATGGGAAAATCCACTATTTCTATGGCCATTTTTAATAGCTTTATGTTAGTTTACCAGAGGGTAACATTCTTGGGACAATACAATGATCCATATGGATGTTCATCCCCCTAAAAATGGTATTTTCATAGGTATTGATCCATACCCATATAGTATATTTCAAGGGCTATCAAGGGGTAATCTGTTCCTTTCGAGGTGCCTACAGTTGACCCATCTACAGTACAGATCCCTGATCATCAGGACTGGAGCTTCGGGATCCAAACCCGGGTGGCAAGGGCACACTGCTGACGTAAGGGCGACGAATGCATTCCAAACAAGCAAAACCACATGTCTGTTACTAAGGCTTCATGGCCCATAGGATCCATGTATGCTATATATGGTAACATGGATCCCATCAATATACCCCAAATGTTAGCATATATACCATACATGAATGGATCCTATGGGTGGTAACTATAGAAATGGGATGACATGAAAAAAACAAACGAACCATCACAAACCATCACAGAAAAACAGTTCAAGACATGTCAAAAAGCAGCAGTGTAGCTGCTTCAATGATGGATGTCCCCGCGGCCCAGCCAAACCTCTCACAATATGGGGTTCCGGGGTTCCTTCAATCCTTGTTCTTCGGTTGGGTCCATAGCAATCCCCAAGAATATAGTTGGCAACCCCTCAAATATATCAAACACTAAAAGTAACCTAGCTTTGCAACCCAACAGCAGTAAGGGTTCCAAGGTGCCATGGTTCTGACAAAAACACGCACCACTCCCAAAGCCAGAGATTGAAACCCAACAGTCACTACTGTTGGGAATGATGACCATACTCCTATTAAGTCTATAGATACTTAAAATATCTAAAAATATCTAAAAATCATAGTACCATTCAGTTACAACATGATATAACTTTATATATAACTTATATATAATTTATATTCATTATAATATAATTATTTAATTCTAAGGAATTCTAAGGCCCATAACCATAGGGATCCCTTTCAGGCTCACCGAACCCCACCTCTGGGTGGTCCCAGATGGGTGAGCGTTCCACAGGCACCGGCTGCAGCGCTTCGCGGGGCCACGCGAACCTGCGTTGAGCCGTTGAGCCGTTGAGCATTGCGAAGCTGTGCGCAGAAACACCGAGGACATGGGGCATTGGGCCATGGGTATAAGTTATACATACAGTTCATTACAGTTCTATATAACATAATATGACATTAATATGACATAATACATTGTAAAGTGCAGTTCATATATATATAATATTACAATCATCACATGTGAGTAATCAGTACAGTAATATTGTGCCTGTGGTTTGCTGTGAGAATGGAGTATGGCAATAGTAGAAACAAACGAAGGCCTGTAAAACACCGTTAAGAGGGGAGGGGATCAATGGAAGTGAACATTGGCCAAGCCAACTCTGAAAATGCTAGACCAACGCGCAGGTGTCGAACCCATCTGATGAACACTGAAGACATATATCTGGGTAAATTATAATAATTCACTAACCTGAAACTTGCGGCTATCTTGGGGATGATTTCTCTTACTAACCATGATTCCAGGGTTCGGTCGCACTGAGGTCGTGATGAAATTTACTCAGATCTATGGAAAAATGTTGAAACATGCATCCACTTAAATCTAGTCATCATCCCTTAGGACTCTGATTCTCTCAAACGTGAGGATCAGGATTATCACGATCCCATCGTGGTTGAAGCGGTCAAGCGTCAAGCTATAGCCACAGTTCGAGGGTTTGTCCTGAAATGGGGTATGGTACGGAAAAAACGGTGGACCAATGTGCGGAAAATTGGAGAATCATGATAAACCATCACCCATAGGATCCATGGTGCTGGTATATATGCTAACATTTGGGGTATATTGATGGGATCCATGTTACCATATATAGCATACATGGATCCTATGGGTCATAAAACAATGACCAGTTCATTGAAAGCTCATTTTATATATATATATACCAGTAGTACCGCACAAGGCGGTGGCGGAAGTTTCAAAAATAGGAAACCTATAGGAGAGCTTGGTGGTTGTGAATGAGGGATGGCAGAGCGAAGCCACTGATGGACCGAAAGGTGCTTGAGGTCTCCTCTCTTTCTCTCTTTCTTTCTCTGACTATCTACTTACCTACCAGCCTATCTTCTATGTATCTATCTATCTATCGATCTTACTGCGAGACGAGTGTGTTACCACTTTATAAACGTTAATTTCTCAACCATTTTTTGAAATGTTGTAACAATTTTATAAAAAATATTGCTTACCATTTTATAAAAAATATTGCCTACCATTTTATAAAAAAATATTGCTTATCATTTTAAAAAGATGAATTTATAATATTTTATATTTTAAATTTTCTTGGCGTGAATCTACATTCTCCATTGTATTTTGCCCAGAATGTTTTTTTTGTATGTATTTTGCCGAAACCTCTACGCATTCTCCATTGTATTTTGCCCAGAATGTTTTTTTTGGTATGTATTTTGCCGAAACCTCTATGCATTCTCCATTGTATTTTGCCCAGAATGTTTTTTTTTGTATGTATTTTGCCGAAACCTCTATGCATTCTCCATTGTATTTTGCCCAGAATGCTTTTTTTTTGTATGTATTTTGCCGAAACCTCTATGCATTCTCCATTGTATTTTGCCCAGAATGCTTTTTTTTGTATGTATTTTGCCGAAACCTCTATGCATTCTCCATTGTATTTTGCCCAGAATGCTTTTTTTTTGTATGTATTTTGCCGAAACCTCTATGCATTCTCCATTGTATTTTGCCCAGAATGCTTTTTTTTGTATGTATTTTGCCGAAACCTCTATGCATTCTCCATTGTATTTTGCCCAGAATGCTTTTTTTTGTATGTATTTTGCCGAAACCGCTATGCATTCTCCATTGTATTTTGCCCAGAATGCTTTTTTTTTGTATGTATTTTGCCGAAACCTCTATGCATTCTCCATTTATTTTGCCCAGAATGCTTTTTTTTTGTATGTATTTTGCCGAAACCTCTATGCATTCTCCATTGTATTTTGCCCAGAATGCTTTTTTTTTGTATGTATTTTGCCGAAACCTCTATGCATTCTCCATTGTATTTTGCCCAGAATGCGTTTTTTTTGTATGTATTTTGCCGAAACCTCT